ATGGCTGAGGCAACAGATAGGGCTTGTGAGCCAAGAGCCTGCTCTTTTTGCTACCACCATTAGAGAGAACATACTCTTGGGTAGGCCTGATGCTGACCAACTTGAGATAGAAGAGGCTGCCATAGTTGCTAATGCCCATTCGTTTATTGTAAAGCTCCCTGATGGCTTCGATACTCAGGTTGGTTCATTTTAGACATTACACATGAATATCAGTTCAATATTCAAAACCAAGCAGCAAATCCATTCAGACCATCTACCTTCAATTGGTCTAATTTCTGATTTTGGGATTTGTCTTAGATATATAATTTCTTAGCATGTAATACCAAAATGAAAAATGTGGTAGCCTTCTTCTTAATACTTGCCCATACTGAAGTATTCTAGACATGTACCATCCTATACCAAATGGGCTGTTGACTTTATGGTAGGGAAGGTGATGGATTGAAGTTTTGTCACTTTGGAGGGTGAAATTTAAACATGGATCTTGACTGAAAAGGTCTGGTTCTGGCTAGATCTTAAATCCCCTATACTTGCTCTCCCTTTATATTAAAGATTGTGTTTGGTTGGTCAACAATCAGTACCAGACATGTGTTTATTATTTTATGCAATTTTTTTATAGTCAGTTTAGGGAAATGTTAAGTAATGCATGCATTCACATAAGGTACCATGCTTCTAGTCAACATCACATGTGCATAAATAAAGCCTAGTAACTTAAAATGTGGAAGAGCAAGAACAAGGGGAGAAAATGGGGACAACAATTGGTTCCAATACAGTAAATATATGGCCCTATGTAAGTAAAGAACTGCAAAATGTTATATTATATTATCAATTATGCTAACTTAAATGAAGAGTACTTGAAGATGACAGGTATAAATACATTGTTAACAATTATTGGTTTATAATTTCAGATGTTAGTAATTTGAGCCTTTGAATTAAATTTACATTAAAATTTGTGTTCTACTGTTTAATTAGAGTTTGAGAGAGTAGATAAGATAGGGTAGATAAAATTGGTAAGCTAACCTTTACTTGCTTTACAATGACATTCCACCCCTTAACTCCTCCTAAAGGAAAGAATTAAGTTTCCTCTGGCATAAAATAGTTCCATGTGAAAGAGAAGATAACTATGTTTAATTTGTACATATGCAGTTCTAAAGAGATTAAAGAAACATCAAACCTTTAATTCCAAGCTGTCATGAAGTTCCAAAAAAATAGCTGTGTTAAGTTTACTGAAGAAACAACGAGGTACAAATATGAGCAATATAAAGAAAATAATAATTTGAAAATGGCAGGTGGGGGAGAGAGGGGTCCAACTCTCAGGAGGGCAGAAGCAAAGAATTGCTATAGCCAGGGCAATGCTGAAGAACCCAGCAATCTTGCTGTTGGATGAAGCAACAAGTGCATTGGACTCAGAGTCAGAAAAGCTGGTCCAAGAGGCTCTTGACCGTTTTATGATTGGAAGGACGACTCTTGTTATTGCCCATCGTCTTTCTACCATCCGCAAGGCTGACCTCGTAGCTGTCCTTCAGCAGGGGAGTGTGTCTGAAATTGGAACACATGATGAGCTTATTGCCAAAGGAGAGAATGGTACCTATGCCAAACTCATTCGCATGCAAGAGATGGCACATGAAACTGCCCTCAATAATGCCAGAAAAAGTAGTGCAAGGTAGCTTCCCCAACCCCAAGTGTACCATCTTTGTTTATTTCTTGAGATGCCTTGCACTTTCAAATTTTTGTTTGGCGTGCATTCTGTTAACATAATTTGCCATGCTAAAATGGGTCTTCTTCTGCAGGCCATCTAGTGCAAGGAACTCAGTAAGCTCACCAATTATTGCCCGGAATTCATCATATGGCCGATCACCATACTCACGGAGGCTATCTGATTTCTCTACCTCTGACTTTAGTCTTTCCCTCGAGGCCTCACATGCCAATTATCGGCTTGAAAAGCTTGCTTTCAAGGAACAAGCTAGTTCCTTCTGGCGCCTGGCAAAAATGAATTCTCCTGAATGGGTTTATGCTTTAGTTGGTTCTGTAGGTTCTGTGATCTGTGGCTCCCTCAGTGCTTTCTTTGCATATGTTCTGAGTGCTGTCCTCAGTGTCTACTACAGTCCGAATCATGCTTATATGATAAGAGAAATCGCAAAATACTGCTATCTGTTAATTGGGCTCTCATCAGCTGCGCTTCTCTTCAACACACTACAGCATTTCTTCTGGGATATTGTGGGAGAAAACCTTACAAAACGAGTGAGGGAGAAAATGCTGGCTGCATTGCTGAAAAATGAAATGGCATGGTTTGATCAGGAGGAAAATGAGAGTGCTAGGATTGCGGCAAGGCTGGCCCTTGATGCTAACAATGTCAGATCAGCCATTGGAGACCGGATTTCTGTGATTGTGCAGAACACAGCACTCATGCTAGTTGCCTGCACTGCTGGCTTTGTTTTGCAGTGGCGTCTTGCTCTTGTCCTGATTGCAGTCTTCCCTGTGGTTGTTGCAGCAACTGTTTTACAGGTTCACTTTTACTAGCTTATCCGTTATATGTACATCATGACAAATTTGCTCTAAACATATAATGCACATATTGGAAGACTAATTATAATCTCATACCTTAGCAGAATTTGAGCTAAGGAAGTCATATCTTCTGAAAAGTGTAGTCATAATTAATCATTTTATGTTCAATGAAGTTGCTTTAGTGATAGTATTTACAATCCAATGATTTTCATATATTACATTTAATTATTCCTGATTTTTCTATTCTCTGCAAAAACCTTTTGACCTACTATAAGTTGTAACTCTTAAGATATCAGGAAATGTGGATTCAATTTTGAATGTGTAATTAGTGATGCTTTTGGCATTTTTGTTATCAAATTACTAACATAATGTTGTCTCTTCAACAGAAAATGTTTATGACAGGTTTCTCAGGAGACTTAGAAGCTGCTCATGGTAAAGCCACACAACTAGCTGGAGAGGCCATAGCCAATGTAAGGACTGTTGCTGCCTTCAATTCGGAGAACAAAATTGTTGGCCTTTTCTCTTCTAGCCTTCAAATTCCTTTAAAGCGCTGCTTCTGGAAGGGCCAGATTGCTGGAAGTGGATATGGGGTTGCTCAGTTTTCGCTTTATGCTTCTTATGCTCTAGGTCTTTGGTATGCTTCCTGGCTTGTGAAGCATGGGATCTCTGACTTTTCAAAGACCATCCGAGTTTTCATGGTCCTCATGGTCTCTGCCAATGGTGCAGCTGAGACATTGACTCTTGCCCCTGACTTCATCAAGGGAGGTCGAGCCATGAGGTCAGTCTTTGATCTTCTTGACCGCAAAACTGAAATCGAACCTGATGATCCAGATGCCACCCCTATACCTGACCGACTTCGTGGAGAAGTTGAGTTTAAGCATTTAGACTTTTCTTACCCCTCACGCCCTGATGTCCCTATCTTCCGTGACCTCAACCTTCGTGCTCGAGCTGGGAAAACCCTTGCCCTTGTAGGTCCTAGTGGATGTGGTAAGAGCTCAGTTATTGCCCTTATACAGAGATTCTATGAGCCATCATCTGGACGGATCACGATTGATGGCAAGGACATTAGGAAATACAATCTCAAGTCCCTGAGAGGACACATTGCAATTGTTCCCCAGGAGCCATGCCTCTTTGCTAGTACCATCTACGAAAATATTGCCTACGGCAACGAGTCAGCAACCGAAGCTGAGATTATTGAGGCAGCCACATTAGCCAATGCACATAAATTCATATCTTCACTACCTGATGGCTACAAAACATATGTAGGGGAGAGGGGAGTTCAGCTTTCTGGAGGCCAGAAACAGAGAATTGCAATTGCTAGGGCTCTTGTTAGGAAGGCAGAGCTTATGCTGCTCGACGAGGCAACTAGTGCACTCGATGCTGAGTCTGAGAGATCCGTCCAAGAGGCTCTAGACCGTGCCTGCTCAGGGAAAACCACCATTGTGGTTGCTCATCGGCTATCAACAATTAGAAATGCTCATGTCATTGCAGTGATTGATGATGGAAAAGTGGCAGAGCAAGGATCACACTCTCACCTAGTGAAAAATTACCCTGATGGATGCTACGCCCGCATGATACAATTACAGAGATTTACACACAGCCAAGTTATTGGAATGACAACAGGCTCAAGTTCCTCAGCTGCAAGACCTAATGAAGAAGAGAAAGAAACCTATTGAGGTTAAAGGAAATACTTTCAAGAACAGGAGTATATCCCCCCATACCCCTAATGATTTTTTGTTTTTCTCGTTTCTTTTTTTTCAAGATTTAAGGTTATGATATAGTATAGTTTGTGTATTATCTTCTTTTTCACCCTATATGTTATCTTCATGGATCCTTCTAAGGAAATGATAATGACAAATAGTTCCCTAAGATGCAATCACTAACTCTGCTTCAGAAATATAGAACATGAAAGAGGAAATGGGTAGTGTTGAAAATGTTATGGCCACCTAAACATGTCTTCTTTTCTTAATAAACAATTAATTATTATAATATTGGATATTTAAGTCTATTGATTAATTTTAATTTGTTAATTAATAAATATTAATTTTTTAAATTATTAATAAATAATTATAATATGTATCATTTTTAACAATTAAATTAAATAAAATTCATATTTTAAAACTAAATATTGAAAAAGTGAATTGCCCCCAACACTTACTTTTGTAGGTGACGGTATCCATGCCTCTTCACCATCATGTGAATTGTCTGTTTATGTTTTGTCCAAATCGTGCACGGAGAATTACATCACTTTCAGGGCACTGATAAAACAGTACTGGTCCTATACTCATACATCACAATCCATAGTTTTCATGGCATTTTGAAATTATCCTGTCTCTCTCCCATTTGGGTATACCATATGCATAAGTTCGTGACGGGGTCCGTGGGGAACAAAATAATTGAATTGAAGTTCACGTGGTGGTTTCACATGTGCACAGACTCCATTAAAACAGATAGCAACCGAAGAAGAAACAGAGTAAGAGAAATAGACAAAGACCCAAAAGAAGGTGGGATCTTAATTATGCAGAGACATTTCAGTCAAGCTCCAATCAAAGCAGTGGACATCGAGTGAGAGGAGAAGATAAGGGAAGTTTGGGAAAATGGCAGGTGATGGTGGTGTGTTGATCTCCTCATCTGACCCCACCTAATCTCTTCTTTGATGTGCAAACAGATATAAGGATGTCGGTGGTCATAGATCCCAAAGATGGGTCTCGACTTTCAAGTGCTAAGACTCTGCATAAAAGACTGGCTGCATTTAAATTGTTCTTCATTGTCTTTGTTGGAAATGGCAGAGGCCAAGAGACAACATGATATACAGGCAAATCTGAAAACATATGATCATCTTCTGGTGTATACAAAGTGAATGAATTAGATGACACTAATGAGTTTCTGGTGCATTAGAAATTCTAATAGTTACATGGAAACAAGAACACATCAAATCCCTCAACAGAAGGTATACAAGTTGAGGAAAACACAACTTAAAAAGAATAAAACAAAACAAAATCATACTCATAACATTGTTTTTCAAGCTTTACACGTAAAACAAAGCCCTTAATCAATGAGCAGAAACGAAAATCTTTATCAAACCACATGGTCCACTTAACCTCTAATCTAATTAATTGAAGACAAGAAATGCCCACAAAGATAATGAACTTAACAATCTGATAACCCTTGACTATTCTCAAATTAATAAAGTTATGTGCACCAATCATAGTCGATAAAAAGAAGTCTCCAATAATATGCATAATATACCTCACTGCATAACAACAATGTTTCTCTGCTTCTAAACAGTAATATAGCATGGACAAACTATTCCAATGCTCTCTTGTAAACTGTGCAATTGGGCTACTAACAGTCTATCATAGTGTTGCTTAATAAAATGTTGGAAAATTATATAATCCAGCATAAAAACTTCTAAAATCTTGGTGAGCTATATTTCTCACCCTTGCTCACACCACAAATTGCCTGCAGTTACTAGTCTAAGCTTTGCACTCCAAACTCCAAAGCACCATTACCACAGAAAAGATGATTGAAGTATACAATGGGAAATATTACTTTGTGCTTTCCACAAATATAATTTACAAAAGTATACTCATTGAACTGGTAAACAATAGAATCATTTAATACTTGGAAAATGAACTGGCAAAAAATATAATAATCAGCATTCCCATTACTTGTGACTATTGTCATTTGCATTGCAATGCTTACAAAAGAAAAAGAATAAATGATAACTTTTTATGTAAAAAAGGGAAAATTAACTGATCCAAAAGAAAAGAAACAGCATAATAATGCCTAAACTGGTCAAGACTTGATTGTTACTGTAGCAAGGTACAGAGGATTCCTTCTAATGACCTTTCCATAATAAATATTCTCTGCAACCAGGAGGCTAATCTTAGCCCACTGATCGACAGAACCACAAAACCAAATATAGAATGCTCACATCAACATAAGCTTTGGGCCATTATCTGGCATTCCCATCCCACCTGCTAACTCAGCATCAAGTTGAGTGTGTGGAGCTGGCCCCATCATTTGCTTCACACTGCACTCGACAACGACAAAATCATTTGTTTTTAGTTATAACAAATAAGAGGTGAAGATCTTCATATGGAAAGGTGGAATAAGAAAGATGGGAGGAAGAGACAATTAGCAGATTCATCAAAGATGAGAAAAACAGATCAAAGTTTCGTAATAAACTGTTACATTAACATTGAAGTACAGAGGAGTTACTCTACATTAGCACTGAATCACCATTTTGCAGCAGCTCAACTTTATTCAGTATATTGAACCAATTAATTAACTAGTGTTAAAAATGAAGTAAGACATGTAAATTTATGAACCATCCCAAAAATTACCAGTCTGATACTATCCGAAAAATTAGTCGTGAAAATCCATCAGAAAAAAAAAAAAAGAGAGCGTAGACGCTCACCGTTTTTTGTGGCGTTTTGACTTGTAATGTTCATCCCTGACTGTCACATTAGCAAAGTATCGACTGAAAATAGAAACAGAAAAGCACAATTAGAACCATTTTTCACAGATTAAAAGGCTCCATATTGGCCTTTCATGAGCAACACAACAGCGCCCATCAATTGCAGAGCTCGAATGGAAATATCTGAACTTACTCGCAGTGTAAGCAGTAGTATTGACCCATTCCAGGCAAATCTTCATCGAGGGGCAATGGCTTCGTCTCCGAATCAAGCTTCTGCAGCTCTTCATAGACAGCGTCGTCGCGTGAACCAGAAATTCTCCGTCAAGGACAAACAAAATTCAATTTTGATTGGAAAGAATGTAAATTTAAGAACTGGGCAACATCAAATTGATAACGAAAAGGATATCTTTGACGAGGAATTTGGTGCGGCGAGCCGTTTTGTGAGAGTACCTTCGCTTCTTCACTTTCCTGCTCGGACACTTACCCCCCATTCTTTCACTTTCTTGACGGAACCCTAACTGCTTCTTGATCAAAATTTCCCCTTTCTGTCTGCAACTGAAGAGCTTCGCGGAATTAGGGTTTTTATGTTATTTATGGCTTCTTCGGAAACCCTAGAGGAAGAAGCGAAGGGGGTAGTTTTATTAACCTTGTGGCTACGAAAACGACAGCGTGTAGTTTCATTGCACCGTCTTCGACTTCTCTTTCTTTTGGGCCTTGCTCTTTAAGCCCTTGAAGCTAAGTGTTCATTTGATAACATTTTTTGGTG